GGAGAACTGGTCCACGCAATTAAGTTAGGGGGAGGGTTGAAGGAAGGGGCGTTTGGATTCTTGGAGGATGGTGGGTGGGTAGAACAGGTGATGGGTGAGGAATTGGAATTATGGACATGAGAAGCCAATATTAACAGTACTAACCACTATTAATAGTATTAACTACTATTAACAGCATTTTAAAGCACAAGTTTTCATTCTTAATCAGTGAAAAAATTTATAGAAGAAAACAAGGATGGTTTCCAGTGTGATTTTAAAGACCCGGGGCTGCAAGTGTGCTTGACCTATGCTGGCCTTGTAAGAGAATATTACTGGGATACTTTTGCCAATTCCACTTTATATTTAGAAAGTTGGAGAGCAGCAGCTTAAAGAAAAGAAACGGGTCTTAGTGTTTGAGCACCCTGTCTGCATAATTCTGCAGATGACACTTCAGGCACAACATGGGAAATGGCTTGAAATTTTTTAACACAATGCACAATTCTCACCACTACTACCTCCTCCAAACCCTGAAATCCGTAACACTTCATTTCATTTGGTCCAGCCCACAATGCCCAGAGCAAAATTTTCAGACACTTCCAAGCCCATTATGCTGTTCCTGGGAATTCCATGTTTAGAGAACACCTTCAGTGTCCTAAATGTCCTAAAATGCTCAATGAAAACCATATCAGAGCTGGACGTAATGTTTATGTCCTTAATGCCTTGATCATTCAGGTCCTTTACTTTATATATCCTCAGTAGCCATTGTTCCGTGGTATATGCTTCCTCCAGCACATGAAGCTAAAAAGCTTTATTCCTGATCTCAGCAGTCCAGATGCAGCCAAAGCCTGGTGAATGCTTGGCTTTCTACATAGACCTGTCCAATGTGGTAGAAGCACATCTTATACACGAGGCAGTTGAGAGCAATGGAGAACTCTCCTTGCCCACACAGAATTCCCCAGTTGAAGTGCAATTATAATCACGCTCCTTAATGTTTTCCCGTGTCTGTTCTCATACCAATCCGGACTATCACAGAAATGAGAAAATAGTGTTTTCTCATTTCTCAAAGAAATTATTTGTGGATATCATGCAGTAAAGCCTCCAAGAAGGACCAAAGTTTTTTAATCAAGTTCTCTCTTTCTCTTATTATATGAAATATATTGATCTTTTAATATGTTGTTCCTACTTTTCCTCTTCTATTCATTCTTACCTAGGCTCTTTCATTTTCTTGTATTGACCAGAATCACTATGACATCCTCATTTTATCTATAAATATCCTTAAGGGACCTGAGCGATAGTACAATGAGGAGGGAATTTGCCTCTCATAGGCTGACCTGGTTTTGATCCCTGGATGGTTCCTTGGGTGACTTCTGAGCATAGAGCCAGGAGGACTAACCAGTTTAGTTCTCTCTCCTGGCTGGTTCGTTCTCCTGACTCTATGCTCAGGAGTCACTCAAAGAACCATCCAAGGTACCAGGGATCAAAACCAGGTCAGCCTATGAGAGGCAAATTCCCTACTCATGATTAGTTCATTTTACATAATCATGTGCTATAATTTCTGTATCTCTCTCTCTTTATATATATATGTATATATATACATATATATATAACTCATTATGAAAAAACTTTTTCTTTCTTTCTCTGGTATACTTGATTTAATTAATATCAATCTTTTTTATAAAAATATTAGTTATGTTTAACGATACCATTAAATGACTTCTTTTTCTCCTCCTTCTCCTCTACTTCCTCCTTTACCTTTTCCTCCACCTCTTCCTCTTCCTTCTCCTTCATCTCCTTCACCTTCTTTTTCTTCTTTTTTGTGCCACGCCTGGTGGTGCTTGAGGCTTACTCATATCTCTGCTCAGGAATTTCCCCTGATGGTGCTTGGGGAACCATATGGGATGCCAGGGATCAAACCCAGGCCAGCTGCATGCAAGAGAGGTGCCCTACCTTCTGTACTATTGCTACGCCTCCCAAGTCTCTCTCTTCTGTCTGGAATAAGATGGAATCAATGATGCTAGCTTAGACATACTCAACCCTTATAGATGTTTGTGTGTTAATCATTCTCTGTGATGAACAATGTTCTAAAGTTTTTTGCAGGGAGGAAATCATTCCCAGAAGTGATCAAGAGTAGCTCCCAGCTAGGTTCCTGGAAAAATGTTCATGCTGGGAAGAACTGAACCCAGGGATACTGTTTACAAAGCATATGATCCAATTTTTAATTATTCTCCTGCCCCTAAAGCTACATATCAACTACCCTAATTCTCAAAGTCACTTATGAAATATGTACCATAATTATTCCTATATATAGAAAAACAAAGGTCAGTTAATGGTGTTGTAACTAGGAAGAGGGTAAGCTGGAGCCAGCCCAAAGAATTGCACACTTTTTATTTCTTCAGTAATGAAAATATTCAACTAGTGAAGTTGATATTTCACTTATAACATCTGTACTCACAAATTTCACATTTAAGTCAGGATGTTTCAATATGTTGTAGAACAGTATTTCTCAACTTTTTTCTAACTGGGAACCCCTTCAGAACCTGTTTTCTTCCTTTGGTCCCCTTCTCTCATGCCATGTCCTCCTATTTACATAATTTTCACCATGCCCCCTTTGGGCCACAGGGGACCATAAGGATCCCAGATGAAAAACATACTAGAAGAAAAGACACTGACATGAAGATAAAAATATTGAAACTATAAAATGTGATGCTTAATATACACTTCCAGTTCTCTCAACTCATGCACATATTTCCTGAAAATGATAAAATATATCAAATTTTATTTATTTATTTTTTTAATTTTTGGGCCACACCTGGCAGTGCTCAAGGAAAAATACTCTTTAAGTGATATGCATGATGCCTTCTCAGTAATGCCATTATAAAACAAAGTACCTTTAAGGGAACAAGAGAAAAAGAGAGACAGGCTGGGAGTTGGGAGGGAAGCTTGGGATATTGGTGGAGGGAAGTGAGCACTGGTGAAGGGACTGGTGCTCGAATATTGTACCCCTTCACGCCCTACCAAGGGCACAAGTTGCCCCCCATGAGCGGCTCTTTGGCACGACCATGGCTCCAGAGCCACAGAAACCAATCTCGTAATTATCTGGCTCTTGGCAGAAATCTCTCCAGACTTCCCTAGTAAAATATCAAAAAACTAAAATCACGCGGCCACTATTGTGGCCGTGCAACATCCTGTGGTTCTCATAACCAGTTATAGAAAACAAATTTTTTCACAATGCCTTTTCAGCAGTTCTGATTGTTGGGTGTAAACTCTAAACAGTAATGGTGCATCTTTGGTAGAAATAATGAATGTAATCAAAGTAGATAGAGAGTTAAGTAGGAATCATCTGCCTCACAGGCATTGGGAGGGGTGAGAGTGGGGTATATTGGGGTTCTTGGTGCTGAAAAATAAGTACTGGTGAAGAGAAAGGTGTTTGATCATTGTATGAATGAGACTTAAACCTGAAAGCTTTGTAACCTTTCCCACAGTGATTCAATAAATAAATAAAAAAGAAAAAAAATATCCAACCCCATCAAAAAATGGGGAAACAAAATGAACAGAAACTTTCTCAAAGAAGAAATCCGAATGGCTAAAAGGCACATGAGAAAATGCTCCACATTATTAATCATCAGGGAGATGCAGATCAAAACCAAAATGAGATATCATTTCACACCACAGAGACTGACCCACATCCAAAAGAACAAAAGCAACCGGTGTTGGCGCAGATGTGGCGAGAAAGGGACCCTCCTCCACCGCTGGTGGGAATGCCGACTGGATCAGCCCTTTTGGAAAACAGTATGGACGATTCTCAAAAACTTAGAAATTGAGCTCCCATTTGACCCAGCAATACACTCCTGGGAATATATCCCAAAGAGGCAAAAAGGTATAGTCGAAGTGACATCTGCACTTGTTTGTTCATTGCAGCATTCTTTACAAAAAATCTGAGTGCCTGAGAACAGATGACTGGTTAAAGAAACTTTGGTACATCTACACAATGGAATACTATGTAGCCGTTAGAAAAGATGAAGTCATGAAATTTACATACAAGTGGTACTACATGGAAAGTATCATGCTAAGTGAAATGAGTCAGAAAGAGAGGGACAGACATAGAAACATTGCATTCATCTGGGTAACATAAAGTAACAAAATAGGAGTATAACACCCAACAATAGCCGAGATAAGTAACAGGAGGTTCAGTCCATGGGTTAGAGGCCAGCCGCACATGCAAGAGGAAAAAGCAGCTCAGATAGAGAAGGGAGGACCAAATAAAGGGTGTTGGGAGGATTCTTCCAGGAGGGGAGATGCATGCTGAAAGTAGACTATGGACTGAACATTATTGCCACTCAATGCCTCTTTTGCAGACCACAGCACCCAAAAGGAGAGAGAGAACAAAAGGGAATGCCCTGCCACAGAGGCAAGGTGGGATAGGGGAGATGGGGGGCTTGGAGGGATACTGGGACCCGTGGTGGTGGAGGATGGGCACTGGTGGAGGGATGGGTACTTGATCATTGTATAACTGAAACCCAAGGACAAAAATTTGTAAGTCTACAACTGTACCTCATGGTGTTTCACTAATAAAAAATTTTTAAAAAATGCCTCCTCAATGTTTCAAAATATAAAATGTAAATTATAAAATAATAACAAATATGTAAAATAATAATCAACAAATGCAATTAATCAAGTTTCATATAATTAGAAAATGAGGTGTTTTCTTGAGTGAAGTGCAAGGAAAGGTTTGCAGCCACAAGCATAGATTTCTATTGAGTCGTGGTTGACTTTGGACATCAATCAATTATTAAACACAAAAAAGGAACTCATGCTGAGTGTAGGAACATCCAGATAAGTCACTAAATAGATTTCTTTCTTCCCTGTGTCTTAATTTAAACGCGATTAACTTTTGACAAAGAGCCACATGCTTAAGAGACAATAAGCCAAAAGGCCCAAGCAGCCATTAGTTGACCTTTGAGAAAAAGAACATGAGGAGCCCAGGGAAGCTACACATACAGGAAGATTATTTAGTGCTTAACATGGATTTGCATCTTTCGAGGACACAGACGTTGACATTGTACGGAGTTGGAACGGAGTCCCAGGGAAGAACAGACGGTCGATTGTTACGAACCCAAGGAGAGTGTGAGAAGATAAAGCTTTGGATTTACTGGTTCCAGTTGTGCAGCTCTAAACTCATCAGACTGACGTGTGATGTATTGAAATAATCATCTCCCATCTATCTCCTCATTTACAAAAGCAACGTTACTGACTCCATTCAGCCTTGAGCACATTTCTTCTCTGCTTTGCGTTAGTTACTACACACACTGGGCATGTGATTCACATTCGTTTCCATTGTTCCATGTCCATTATTCCCTTCAGATTCAACTCAGAATGCACTGTGCTTATCAATTCTGCTTTAATTTCAACAACTTTTTAAAAATTTATAAACTCTTGTAGATAAGCATTCTTTATTCATTATTTGTTTTTTATCGGTAGTATGCCAACCTATCCAGATATATATATATACTACATGAGGAAAAGTGTAAGAACTGGGGTTAAATATGTCTAAAAACCCAGGAGTCTATCTACCTCATGGTGTTTCACTAATAAAATTTTTTTAAAAAACCAAAAAAAAAAACACCAAACAAACAAACAAAAACCCAGGAGTCAATAATTTTGAGTTTCAAAGGAAATAAACGTATATAAAATACCACATTTTACAATTACTAAGTAAGAGGTGTGCACCAAAATAAATGTCAGCATAGTAAAAGCATTCAATTCTGCAAAAGATGCTAAGAAAGATCATTTTAAAATATATATTAATTAAGCTTAAATACGTACAGTAAGAAAAAAATGTAGGAGGAAGAGGGAAAGAGTGGTGTGGAGATCAAATGCAAAAGCATGAAGACATGGGAAAAAGTGTGCTTTTTTTAACACTCATACTTTTGATGTATAATTACCACAATTCGCCACTCTGGAAGTGCCAAGTACAGCCAAAAAGTTTCTATGTTACTTCTAGTTCCATCTTTATTCCCTCCCTAACCCTTCCCCAGTGTGTAAAAATGTTTTGCAATTCAGCAAAACTCAACAACAAAAGATTTTTAGATTACTGAAACATTGAGAGGAAGTTGACTAAGTTACAAAATGCAGCATATCATGTAGATTCTTATATCCACAAAAGGAGATTATTGATTATCAGAATGAATATTGAAAAAAGTTCATAATCAGTATAATATAGTCACTGACCTATTAAAATTGTTTCAGACTTCTTGAATTTTTTTTATAATTTATTTATTTATTGAATCACTGTGGGAAAAGTTACAAAGCTTTCAGGTTTAGGTCTCGGTCATGCAAATATCAAACACATTTCCTTGACCAATACTTACTTTTCACCACGAAGAACCCCAATAAACCCCCACCCCCCGCCCCTATTTTTTTTTCTTTTTGCTTCTTGGGTCACGCCCAGCATTGCCCAGGGGTTCCTCCTGGCTCATACACTCAGGAATTACTTCTGGCAGTGCTTGGGGGACCATATGGGATGCTGGGAATCGAACCTGGATCAGCTGCATGCAAGGCAAACGCCCTACCCGCTGTGCTATTGCTCCAGCCCCCTCAGACTTCTTGAATATTTTAAAGACACTGTTACACCAGGCTTTACCTTGTTCTTTGCTGGACCTTGGAAATGTCCATGATAGCTGTGAGGGTGTCGTCTAAGGTTGTTCTGCAGAAAAGAACATTCGTAAGGATAAGAACGGCAACAGTTTGCCAACTGGTGTTCTTTTCCCCTACTTTATACCAAAATATAAGACCTCTGTGATTTCATTTCATTACAGTTAACATTGTAACAGTAATTTGAACACAGGTATGCATTTGTGATATCATTAAAGAGCACCATCATCTAAAGTTTATTTCTCCTTTTTATGATTTTCTTGTAACATTTGGTTTTCTTTATCTTTTGTGCTGTAAGAATGCGGTATATAAAATATGTGGTGGGCAGAGAAACAGCTCAAAGGTTAACTGTGGTACTAGAATGTTTTAACACGAAATTCTACCTTTAACAGTATTCTAAATCATGGTGTCCAAAATTTTTTTGAATTCAAAATTTAAACTAAAATATTTTTTTATTTTAAGAATTACATATGTGCTAAGTGTTTGTTTTATTAGTGTGTTTTTGTCAGTGTTATGTTATTAATAGTAATTATACCTCGGCTGGAATGATAACACAGCAGTGGGGCATTTGCCTTGCACAAGGCTGGTGCGGCCAACCTGGATTCAATACCTCCGCCCCTCTCGGAGAGCCCGGCAAGCTACCGAGAATAACTCAGCTGCACGGCAAAGTCTGGCAAGCTCCCCATGACGTATTTGATACGCCAAACACAGTAACAAGTCTCAGGATGGAGACATTACTGGGTCCGCTCTAGCAAATTGATGAACAATGGAAGGACAGTGCTTGAGGGGGGCTGGAGCGATAGCACAGTGGGTAGGGCATTTGCCTTGCACGTGGCTGACCTGATAGACCCAAGTTCGATTCCTCCACCTTTGATTCCTCCACCTCTCTCGAAGAACACTGCAAGCTACTGACAGTATCTCGCCCGCAGGGCAAAGCCTGGCAAGCTCCCCTCGATGTATTCCATATGCCAAACACAGTAACAACAAGCCTTATGTTACTGGGCCTGCTCAAGCCAATCGATGAACAACGGGAGGACAGTGACAGTGACAGCGATACTTGAGGGAGTCCAAACTCATACACAAATTTTCTACTGTGGTTAAGTTGGCACCGCCAACACCTTTGTCATTCAAGGATCTTCAGCATATATTTTCTTGTTAATATCCATAGACAGCGGGTAGGGCATTCGCCTTACAAGCGGCCAACATGGCCGACCCGAGTTCGATTCCTCCGCCCCTCTCGGAGAGCCCGGCAAGCTCCCCGTGACGTATTCGATATGCCAGACACAATAACAACAAAGTCTCCAATGGAGACGTTACTGGGCCCGCTCGAGCAAATCGACGATCAACGGGAGGGCCTTTACCTTTTACCTTTACCTTTAATATCCATACTATTATGGCACAAATTCATTCATTTTTTTCTTTAATGAATTTAAAACTCATACTAATAGGGTGACCATTTTTGCATTACGACTCATATTTAGGAAAGAGGAATGTAAAGAAGACAAAAATGCAATGGAAAAATAATTATAGGGTGAATACTATAATCAAAAACACAGTCTTTCAGCTAGAAGTAACAGAAATAGAAAAGTATCCATGCCAGAATTCCACATCATTTTATTATAGACAAAGAAAATTACCCCTAGACAAAATACTGCTCTGTGGAGTTTGCCTTTCATATGGCTTTTCTTTATTTAAGAAAAAAAATTATAAATTTTATCCTACTGAATAATTTCTTTATTACATATCGACATATTAATTTCTTATTTGAAATATTTTTTTTAAATGATTTCTTTATTGATTACACTGGTGGTGCTGAAGGGCCACACCTGGCCCTGTGCTCAGGAGCTGCTCCTGTTGGTGCTCAGGGACTCTGTGTGGTGATGGAGCTAAATCTGGTTATAGCCACCACAATTGCATGGAAGTTAAGCTCTTTATATCCTAGACAATCCTTATAGTCCATAAAGTCACATTTTTATAAAACAGAAAATACAATGTTTGCATTGTTTGGAAAGTAATCACAAAAATTTGAAAGTCTGTAACTCTATCTTATGGTGATTCACTAAAATTTAAAAAATTAATTAAAAAAATTTAAAAAATACAATATTTGCATTCAAATATTTTATTTATTCCAACAACCCATGAAATTAGTTGACTTGTACTGTTCATAGATAAATTACTAGTAAAAATAAAAGACAGATGGATTTAAATCCCCCAAATTGACCCAGTCACCCCTCAAATAATCGTTGCCATCCACATTACATAATCACTTCCCATACGATAATGAGCAATTTTTTTCCTCTGTTAAGGAAATACCAAACAAGGAATTTTAAACTTCCATGAGCTGATGCTTGAGACACTCTAGCTGATGCTTGAGTCCACTAGATTTTTTGAATACCCTTGCAATCTCATCACCTATGAAGTGAACGTGGAATTGAGACTATACAGCTGTGAAAGTCTATAAAACTGAAATTATTGTGACGCTTGAATGTTTTTCAATGAAATTATGCACTCAGTAAGAGGCAGTTCACATATGCTAGCATAAATAGGATCAAAGATAAGCTATTTTCTCTGCAGGGGGCCCCCGGTAACCACTCTCCGGCCGGCCGCGGAGGTGGCCCGAGGATTGATCCGATGGTGCAAGGAGGGACCAACCGAATGAACACGAGACACAAGAGACAGAGTACAGTTTAGAAATAGAAAAAGAGAGAAAAAGGGACAGGCTTTATTGAGGGATACAGGCTGTTTATATAGGGTCTGGGCAGCTCAGTCAGGAGCAGAGGCAATATAACCATATATGGTAAGGTCAGCAACAAGAGCTTTACCTAACATTCAAGGTAGACATTTGCACATCAAAGGCAGTAGGTGCATCCTGAGCTTTACATTTGTATATCAAAGGGTCTTAGGGAGTAGATGCATCCTGGAGGTTACTATAGATAAGACCAGATAAGCGGTCAGCCTGATGTGTGGCTATAGATCAGGTATCCACTGAGATCAGGAAGTCCTGGGAGACTGTCACTAATGTCTGTCCCAAGCAGTTCTTAACATGGGAACCATGGCCAGGGTCTATGAGAGGGCTCTTGGCTTCCCACATTTCTCTTCCCCTTCTCTATCTTTATCCTTCTGTACACAAATAAAACTGATATTCAGGATCTCTGTTTTCATCAACATCTTGTGTCACTCCACTAGAAATAGATTGCCTGATTTCTATTTGAAATTTATCTTTATTTGTGCAAGTTTAGGATTGTTTTCCTAGATATCTTCAAGGAAAATTCTACAAACTTAAAGACCAGAAAATTATTAACAACATTTGACTGGATATATACCGAGGTCTGCCTTGATAACATGATGACTATATATGAATAGAAAAAATAATTTTAAAATTCAAATAAATATTCCAGTAATATATACGGTGTTTGTTTTCATACATAGAGTTGGTATTTACACACCATACATCTAGTAACTTGTATGTGATTATATTCATATACATAATCAATGTTCTGGTTTAACACTACACGTTCTAGACTATTGCCAATCAAACTTCAGG